AGGCTGGGCTGCTTCCTTTCTTGGGCACCCAAGTAGGAGATACCTTGGGACCTGATTTTAACATGTCTCGGAGGCGCTGAGTGCACACGCATCTTGCTGAGGTCAGCGGGACCTGCTGGTGCTCAGAACCTCCGAAAATCGAGTCGATAGAATTTGAAAGTCACGTGCGCAGGGCACTTCTGAAAACGCAGGGCCTTGCTTTCCTCATTTGTGACAATAACAATACCTCCTTTGTCACCAGGGGCCTTGTGCAGCACCATCGGCTCCTTGGCTGAAGGATGCTATTAAATTGCACGGGGATATCACTATCACTCGCGTCCTCGATTGGCAGACGTAAGCTGTCACAGCACAGGAGTTTGCCTTTCGAGACTCTCCCGTTTTGATCTCTCAATGATTCCGCCTTTGCTTGTGTGTAACGATGCCTTGGGGGGTTTTAACGCTGTTCTGTCTTCTCTGTAGCCTCCAGCTCTTCCGCTGAACCTCAGGCCTGGCTCATTCTTCTCATCGTAACCCAGCTGTCACTATGGCGTTTTATCTATGAATCAGACCCAACCTCGTAATCAATTCAAGGCTTCTATTTAAAGTACTGTAATTTACTTACTCTAAATCCCTGTAGGATAAAAGCATGTGCCCCTAACTCACAGCCTGTACCACAGACGACAACAAATGCTTTTAACAGCACCGAAGTCAGTTGCATGGTCAAGCAATTTAAATGACGTGACGAGCTACTTTATTACAGTGGGAGGGAACAGCAGCCAAAAATGGGGAATTTCAGGGATCCCCCCGCCCCCTCACAGGAGAAAACATTCGACCAGGATCTTCCTCTTTTCTCAAGTCTTCACACTGGCTTCCCCTCTAATTTCACATTCATTACAGGCACCTGTCTGACACCCTTACCACATTCCCCGGCCTCTCTGCTCACAGCAATCCCTCTTGCTCCCCCTTTCCTGACCCTGCCACTAAGAGCCTCACATCGTCTGTAATCTATAGCAGTGTTTCAGTGGGCTTTGGATCAGGCCTCCCTCTGGATTGCGCCCTCTAAGTTTGACCGTGCTAGAGAAATTTACTGGTGTAAGAACCACTTCAGCCCTTAGGGGGTGCATGAACTGGCTGGCGCAGCCACGGCTCTCAGCAAGCTAAAAAGCCGATCGGTCTGAATGGGTTTGGTACCACTGTGGAAACAGAAAGGTTAAGACTATTCAGCTAGTCTAGGAGGCATTTTGATCGCCACTGCTTTTGGAAGCTGTGCCGAGGGTTGTGGGAGGCGGGGAAATAGTTTAGAACACCGGTCGCGTGGACGCAGGGGTATATCCCGGAACCCGGTCTTAAACCAGTTCAGCATCGTTAGGATGGATGCAATGAACAGCGTAGTCACCACTTTCGTTCCTTTGTTCGCGCCCACATGCCCCCTGAGCATCAGTCCTCCCACCATTCAAACTCCTTCTCAGCCCTGCTTTCAAATCCATTTGAGACCCAGGCTGCTCCTCTGGTCCGAAGTGTGTTAATGATCCACCCGACTCCCGTCACTCACCTTCATTCTCTTCTCTGTCCTGTCTTTAGACCATGAGCTGGTCACAGCAGGGACATTTTCTGCTCCTGACCCCATGGGGGTTCTGTTACTTACTGAAGAACACCCAGTCTGTCGAGGACGCAGTATCAGTAAGAAACGTAATTGATCAGAGGCAAGCACTCGTCACAACGCCACTCTGCTTGTACTCATCTCGTTCTCTCAATTGCCAAACAGCCATTAAAGCCCATTGTAGCAATGTGCCTATGGAGAGGAATGAATTGTCTCCGATGCAATTTAATGCCAAGATGATTGAAAGGTTTGACACGCTCTGAAATCTTAAATTTTTTTTAGCCCCAGTTGCTGTTCCTTTCCTCTAACAGTATGCGTCTGCTGTCTGCAAATAATGATCGCTTTGTACTAAAAAAGCAGCTTTTGGCCACTGGGTTTTCTTCTGGTTCACATCTTGGTGAACCTTCCCCCTTCCTTTTTTTTATTATATGAATCAGCCAGGTAATTTAAACATGTTTTATTCTTAAATAAATGTTGTGTTCAAATATTCTCATTTCCGGGTGTGCTGAATGCTCATTCTTATTTAAAGCTGAGGACACAAGGTCACATGAATTCCCTACTCTTAGACAGGGCTGTTTCTTTATTCCAAATCAAAGAACATCAACCTGGAAATAAAATGCAGGGTTTTAACCATCAGAACAGATTGCCAAGAGACGTGGTACATTCTCCATCACTTGTAATCTTTTAATTAAGAGTCTTGATGCCTTTTTGAAAGATGTGCACTGTTTGCAGCCCCAGGTCATAGGGCTCAAAGCAGAAATCTCTGGGGCTACGTCTAGACTGGCATGATTTTTCCGGAAATGCTTTTAACGGAAAAGTTTTCCGTTAAAAGCATTTTCGGAAAAGCGTGTCTAGATTGGCACAAAAGCACTTTTTGCAGAAAAGCGTCCGTGGCCAATCTAGACGCGCTTTTCCGCAAAAAAGCCCCGATCGCCATTTTCGCCATAGGGGCTTTTTTGCGGAAAACACCTCTCTGCTGTCTACACTGGCCCTTTTGTGCAAAAGTTTTTCGGAAAAAGACTTTTGCCCGAACGGGAGCAGCATAGTATTTCCGCAAAAGCACTGACAGTCTTACATGAGATCGTCAGGGCTTTTGCGGAAATTCAAGCGGCCAGTGAAGACAGCTGGCAAGTTTTTCCGCAAAAGCAGCTGATTTTGTGGAAAAACTTGCCAGTCTAGACACAGCCTGGGTGAAGATCTCTGGCCTGGCTGATGCAGAAGGTCAGATTAGATAATAATGGTCCCTCTGATCTTGGGATCTATTCAGCTAATCTGTGCTTTTGCTTCTGTTCGGTTCTCAGTGTAGCTCAGAAGGGCCCCTCTGCATCCCGTAACATACGGGAAGAGGGTTCCCTTCCTTGCTTTAATCCTGTTCTTAATGATGTGGCCACCAGATCTGAAGAAGGCTGAAGCCAAGTCAATTCTCGGTAACGCTGTTAGGGGATGGCACTGCCTTCCTCGTGCTTTGAAAGAGGAAGCTTGGCCTAGTGGTGAAAAGAGGAAGTTTGTGTTCTATATTTTGACCTTCTGTTGATTTGCAGCATGGACTTAGTCCACTCACTTAACCTCTCTGTGGCTCCGTTTCCTCCATGTGCAAAATGAGGATGGCCAATACTTTGAGAATGCAGTGGCTAAGTTGTACTCAGCGGTGGTGAGGGGGAAAAGTGGCGTTTCGCCCCCTTCAAGTCCTCCCCCAGTTCAGAACTTTGGATCCTAGCACCACTTAGAGAAACCTCAGCGCTGCTCTAAAGCGTGCTGGCTATCATATGCCCTCTATAAGTATGTCAAGACAGCAGCGCTATTTCAGGATACTTCCGGTATCTCGAAATAGCTATTCCGTGCCTTTGAAGCAAGCCTGTTATTTCGAAATGTAACAGGTTCGCTGTTCCAACATCCCCATAAACCTCATTCCACGAGGAGTAAGGGGCGTTTTGGAATAGCGGTTTATTTTGAAATCGAAATAAGCTATTTCAAAATTGACTCGAAATAAGCTACGCAATTTGCCTCGCTGATTTCGTGCTACGGGTGCAGTACACACACACCCTACCGGCCCTCTCTGCTACCTAAACATTGCTGGAGTGCAGCAGTGTTCTGTCTATGATCCTAAACCAGAGGCTGCCTCGGCCAGTTCTCTGCACTGCCAGAGCTGTGCAAAGCCAGCAGAAGAGGGGAGGAGAAGCGTCAGAATCCGGCTCAATATGTTTTTATGCAGCTTCACTGAGGGAATGATGACAAATACCTTGGAGGAAGAAAATTTCCAGTGTAGCGTTCCTAAGCCAAATTGCTTTTAGAAAACACAGACACCTAAATCATACAGGGGAGATCAGTGGAATAGCTCCTTTGTATCGTCTTCTTTGCAATCCTGTATCGTCTAGGGAAACGCAGGCAGCTTGTATTATATGCCCGAACCTCTTTTCCCAGCACATTGACAAATCGGGCTGGATAAGCCATCGCAGTGAAGTGTTGAAAGACAAAAAACAGGACAGTGCAATCACCATGTAATATTTAGTGATCCTTCATTCCCTGCATGTCACTTCCTCTCATGCAATCGCACAAGGGAGCTGGGAATGGCTGGGCTCTGACTAATATGGCTCTTTCCTAGCCATGATGGTTTAATTTTGCATGCTGAAGTCTGGCTGATGCATAAAACAGCAGCACAATAAACCAACCCACACAACTGAGAGAGGAAAAACAACCCTATCGCTCGCAGTATTTGGCAAAGGGATTTTGGCTGATGCAGCGTCTTGCGCTGTGCATTTTATAGGATGGACGACACCCTACTTTAGTGCTCACCAACCAATAGCTCGGGATCTACTGGTAGATCTTGGAGCCTCTGATGGGGATCCTGATTGGTTTGGCCAGGAGGGTACCAAGTGCCGGCATGGTAGATGCCCCTCCCCACACTGCTGCTCATCTTCTGCCCTTTGCCTTGGAGCTGCCCCCCCCTGGGGCAGGGCAGGAGAGGGAGAGGAGGGCGCTGATGTCAAGGTGCCTCCTCTCACTCGGTATCTTTTTTCCACAGAGCAGAGAGGGGGCACAACAGGACTTGGGAGGGAGTTTGCTGGCTGCTTTTAGGGAGTGGTGCAGGGCCAGGGCCGGGCTGAACCTGCCTTAGCCCCACTGCCCCACCACCCAGGAGCCACCTGAGGTAAGCGGTGGCCAGCTGGAGCCTGCATTCCGAACTCCTACCCCAGTCATGACCCCCCCCTCCTGAACCCTAAGCACCCCTGTATCCAAACGTGGTCCCAGAGTCTGCACCTAGAACCCCCTTCTACATCCCAACGGCCTGCCCCAGGAGCAGATCGGAGCCCCTCTCACACTCCAGAGCCCTTAATCCAAGACCAGAGCCTGCGCTCAACCCTCTGCCCCTGCCTGATGAAAGTGAGAGAGGGAAGGTGGCGTGAGCAGGGGCGGGGCCTCAGAGAAGGGGAGGGAAGGAGGCGGGGCCAGGGCATTGATATTTGCAGTAGATCTTGGATTGCACTTACATTCAAAAAGTGATCTCGTGCTTAAAAAGGTTGGAGACCCCTCACCTACTTAGTATTTATTTGGGGGCTTTGCAGTACCACACACTGTATGTGGTACAACCCGATCGTATTAGACACTTTTAACACTCGGTACATGTTCCAGCCCTCCAAACGGGCATGATTCCGGCTTATATTCAGCACGGAGAAAGTGTTACATGTTGTCTCCATTTGAAAGCTGATTTGGATTAAGGCTTGGTGTGAATTCTAAGTGCAGCCGCTGTCCCTTACCTAGCAGAAACAGCCGCTAGACCCCAGGTGCCTTCCTTCTCTTGCTCTGGGTTTTTCCACTGAACTTAACAAAAGGATTGGTGGTTGTTGGGATCTTGGAAGAAGTTTGGGCTAGTGCCCACGAGCACAGGAATCCAGCTCCCCCAGCAAGATGCATACTGCCCTGCAGGATTGCTGACCTGCCAGCCTTCCACCCATATGGAGAGAGGTGTATTCCATGCTGTGGTGATGAACGGGGGAAGGAGTCCACCATGAGCTCTGCCCTGCATGCTTCTTTGCCAATCAGGCATCTAAAAAGGTATTAAAAGTGACAGACAAAGCATGCTTGGCTTCCACCACGGTGTGACTGGACATGGGGGCCCGGACAGTGCAGCAGGGCCTGACAAATGGCTCTTGGAAGGCAAAGATGCCGCTCTTGGAGCAGCAACCAGAAGAGCCAAAAACATCAAATAATACAATCAAGGCTCAGAGAGCCAGGGCACAAGGCTGGGCCAGTAGCCAGCCATGTCGAAAGGGGAGTATCCCAGGGAAGGGCTGGGGCCCTAGCTAGGTCTAGCAGGAAGGGAAGTAGAGGAAGAGAGTAAGTGAGAGCACAGGGTCTGATTCAGGCAGGGATACGTGGAATAGGAAGGGGAAAGGGTCTCCATTTGGCCTGGCAGTGGGAGAAGTCACCTAGCAGGTAGAGGGTGTCTGCCTTTAACATCAGGCCCAAGCCCAGCAGCTATACTAGCTGGCCTGGCCTGTATACGCTGACCAAGCAACAGACACCAGCATGAGCCTGCCATTAGATGGCACCGAACACAAGTATCTGCCACAAGCAGGGACTGGTTCTGGGACTAGGGGGAAGGATGCTGGACAGACAGACCACAGGCCTTGTGCTGCTTTTGTTTGGGGGCTTAGCCTGAGATGCATTATGTTGTAGGCCAGGGCTGCTCAACTTTGGAAGCCCCGGGGGCCACAATGACACTCACAGCACGTGCCGCGGGCCCCGGGGGAAGAGTGGTTGTATGTACATGCAAATAGATATGCAAATAGATGCAAATAGCTTCTCACACTGACGAGCATGAGTACAAAATCAAGGCAAGGCTACACAACACACAGGCCCTGTTTAAGTCAGTTCTGCTGATATTCATAAAATGCAACATTTACCCAATTTCCATTCATCTGACAGCACTTTTCATGAGCAATGACAGCCCAGGAATTTAACTGCAAAAACACATCTCAACAGGAGACCAGTCTATTGACTCCTTTTTTTGTTTTAGCTCCCAGCCCCGGGCTGCAAACCCAACAGGCCGCAGGACGCATGTGACCCGCAAGCCATGTGTTGAGTAGCTGTGTTGGAGACGGTGTCTTATTCCTGGCATAGGGGCGTTAACTGGAACACTGGGGCTGCAAACGAAGTGGCTACCGAGGCTATGTGTACACTGGCAGGTTCTTGTGCAAGAACATCTTGTGCAAGGGTTCTTGTGCAAGAACTCTTGTGCAAGAACACGTCCATGCTGCCATGTGCTTTTGTGCAAGAGCATCCTTGGCAGTGTGGACACTCTCTTGCACAAGAAAGTTCTGATGGCCGTTTTAGCCATAGGGCTTTCTTGCGCAAGAAACCTCAGCCGCACGTCCACACTGCCCTCTTGCACAAGAGGGCTTACACTTGTGTAAGCATAGCACAAGAAGCCCTGTCTTCTGACGCCATAAGCATAGCACAAGAAGCCCTGTCTTCCTACGCCATGCTGTAAATCT